CCCCCCCCCCCCAAACCGTCTCGGTATCTGCTAGACAACGCTGGCGTCATCGATGCTAAATCTTTCAAGTTCCCTGCGACGGGGGAAACCACTGACTGGAGGCCAAGTGGTCCTTGAAAGGTTAGCCGTTTCGGATCTCAGCGAAAGCACTCCTTAGACTCCAGGCTTCTGAGACCCCTGACCCCGACGGGACGGGCCTTGTAGAACTTGGCTGCCACATCGGGCTCAAGAGCAGGCGCATACCTTGGATGAAGGGCTCTCTCGGGGGTTTAAGGTTTAGGAGATCCAAGCAAAGGCATGCAGGGGCAGAAGCTGGGATGATCTGGGTGGTCGTTGCTTTGTAAACGTGGGTGGCCGTGGCAGACGTGGTAGTGGAGTGTACATTTTCCTCGGAAACATCGATGCCGACAATGTCATCCATTGTGGCCGCTGCTGTTTACTACACATGCTGGGCCGAGCTATGACGCCCACAAGGAATAGTACCATCATCATGCTGGTGATGAAGATGAAGAAGAAGATGATGTTTCAACCAGCGGGAACGAGAAGATGATGAAGGTGACAACAAAAATGACCACGAGCACACCAAACCTTCTCTTTGTTTCAATCTGTTTTCAATCTGTTGATGAGTCGCAGCTGCAGTAGTAAAAAAGGTTGTAGCACCATCCGTTGTGCATTGAGTCTGACGTCTTAGTGCTTCTAAGAGTGATCTTTTCACTTCCCGATATTTTTCTCTCCTATTGTCTCTAATATAACGGGACCCGAATAAGTACCAGTACTATTTTGGGTTTCTATATTATGATTGTAGTACAGTGCAGTATACCCCAAAACCGCACTCTAACTATTAAGGCCCCTATATTAGCTGCGAGTCTCATCTCTGTGCCGGCTTCCTGGCCTACTTGTCTGTCCAGCTATCTATCGTGGCACTTAAAGTGGTTCTGGCCTTAGCGCTGCCTCCTGCATGCTACGGCCTAACAAGCGAAGGCTTGTGGTTTTATGGCTTGCAGCCCGAAGCCCCGAAATCATTCGCCAAGAGGCGGTCCGTCAATACATCCTACAGTCAAAAACGGCCTGGTAGTGGTCCGAACATCTGGAGTCTAAATGCTCAACACAGAAATTCAGAATACCGGCCGTTCAACAGCAGCAAAGCAGTTGCTTCTCATGGCAAGCTGCTGGCCGCTCTTTGCAGAGAAGGCCACGGACTGCAGGGGGAGACTAGCTAAGCTGGCTTCTATACACAGCTTAGACTTCAGCCACAAGGCGGACGAACTGTACCCTGAAGAGAGCACATGACTAAACCTCGAGCCTTAAGCGCAGTCTCGCCAGATGGGCTGGGATGCTCCAACCTTGGCAGATGAACAGAGCTGAGTTTGCGAAGGCTCAGTATACCCCGAGTATTCGCAGGACGCAGGGCGCCTGGTGAAGCTAAATCTCTTCCTCTGCGGAGGTCCTGCAAAAGCAACCTGCAAACCCTGAGGCGTCAGCCCCGAAAGGCAAACCGTCAAGCCTGGGAGCTCCAGGTGAGGGGTGATGTGGATCAGGGCAGACGTGCCGTCACCTCCATTGTTCTCGAAACGGACCTTGCTTCGTGGGCCGTGCAAGCTCAGAGGGGGTTTCCAAAGGAATTGAAATCACTTTGTGGCCTCGCCAGAAATACCCCGTGAAAGCTGTTCACACCCCTCGAAACTGAGCCCGGACCCAGCTTGCAGACTTAAGCCCGCCCTCAATCAATTGATTTTATACAGGCAACCCGACATCTTCTCACCCAAACCCATTCGATCCCTGAATCTCTGAAGGCCTTTCTTGCAGGCGAGAGGCCGGGATTTGGCCTGACAAGCCGCTCCACACTACCGTGTTTTCTGACCCACTTCTATCCATGGTTGTCACGATGCTAGTGGTGGCGATGACGACAAAAATAAAGATTAAGATGAAGCATAAGACATAAGACTATAACGAGTTCTGACTCCTGACAGTGGTTGCAAAAGCTCCCCATCGGCTGGCCAGGGTTCTGCGGCAGCACTTTCGAATCTCTGTCTGCTTGGTGTGTGTTTTTCAAGTTCGAGGGATGCTGAAAGATTCGCCTCAATGTCACGGAAGTCTCGTTGAGAAGTAAGAAAGCTCTGCGACTTTGGGCCGTGGCCAAAACATCTCCAAAGGATCCCTGGATGCCGCACAAAAGCACTTTAGATTCATTCTCGGACGAAACCCCGAAAGGCAACACTTGCCGAGGGGCTGAGCATGTCAAAGTCTTCGCGGCTTTCTTTCTTCAGAGTTTCGGCAATGTGAAAGCCGTCCACCAGGTAGTTAATAACCTCAGACCAGAAGTTTCTCAAGATATCGAACTCGTCGAATACGGCTTCAAAGCTTACGGGACAAGCAAACGAGTCTGTACCGTGCTATATGCCACACACACACACACACGGAGATAATAGGTGTATGCATACATACGGTTGCATAACTGCAGTTACGTGTGTACGTACGTACGCACATACATACATCCCCCGTCACCGTGTAGGGACGTGCTGGGGCCACGGCCGAACACTCTGGACAAGGCACCTCCGTAAGAACAGCCAGGACGTCGAATGGATGTGGTTACAGAGTGTTGCAGGGGTGCTGATGTTGGTTGTCTTGGAATGCCTTGAGCCGCATTAGCAAGAACCTTTTGCTCAAAACCTGCCAGCCCCAAGAGCACAAACTCGCTGTTCCGTGCCTTGTCCTCGCAGAAGCAGTGCTCCACAGCGTGCAGGAGCTGGAAGTCCTTGGCCAAAGAAGTCTTACCATTCGTGAGAGCAGCTCGGGGTTCTGTGGCTTTAGGGTGTAATGGCTTTGGGCTGCAGGGCCTGGGGGTTAAGAGACTCTCTGATACCTGCCGAGGCCTCTAGCTTACGGAACTACTGAACATCCGGTGCCAGGATAGCCTTGCAAGTCTGCACAGCTTGGTTGGCTTTTCAACCTACCGGCTTTCGTGAGTCCTTGCACTCTGGCTATGTTTCATCGAATCCGATCTTCGAGAGGATCTGAGGCAGCTTCGGCTGGTCCTGTATCGGTACCCTGCCTTCCAAACTAGGGCATAGAACAACAGGACCCAACCCTTCAGTTCAGGGGCTGCCGCTTGGACGATGGAGGAAAGGCATGAGGGAACGTGTCTCACCAAGGATCCAGGAAGCAAGTTTCATGACTGCTTCACTCAGAATCCCGGCAGGTTCAGTCATCAGGCATGCAAACATTCAGAGGCATGCCGCATTCGGAAAGCTCGCAACTCCAAAAGTTCGCAACTCCAATGCGAGCCATGCTGCGGGTGTCGGACTACCTGCAGCCAAACAGGGCCTAGACTTTGTAGGTTGTGTCCATGCAAAGAAAGCCCTTCTCGGTCAACGAAGGATGACAGTCTCTCCAACAGGTAGCATGTCATGCACTACCTCCTACTGGAGGCTCTTTAAGGCACTTCTTGAGTGGCTGTTTTTGGCACCAAGACATTCTCCTCAACATCCTGCAACATCTGGGGCTTGAGACCTCAACTTTATCTTGACAAACCTTGCACCAACGCTGGCCAGAAACGATACGGGTTGTCCGCGTGGAAGCCGATGGCACGGGGTGTGTATGCGAGGTCACGCCTTGGCTTGGGTTGGGGCCCAAATCTCAGTGATCCACCGCTACAATACGCAGAATTACAGGTGCCCAAAGCACCCTGAAGACACACCCCCCATGAAAGTCACACCTGCGAAATAGTACCACCCTTACCCTTGAAAACCCATATCCCCCTACAAGTCTATTCCCTAACATAAACCAAAAATGGAAATGCCATCTTCTAATGATTTGTACGCAAGATATGCAAAAAACCTCCCACCAATACTGATTTAATCATATGAACAACTTAAACCAGTCTTGAGAACCTACAATCTCGAAATGTTGTTTCCACATAACAGGTCGATCGATACATCTACAAGTCTTACAGTTACAGAAGTGACCTTCTCTGGGTTTTTTTGCCTTGCATTTTTCCCTTCGTTTGGTCGCTCCCCTGCTCCCCTTGAATGGTTTAATCTGTATCTTTGTGCTCTCTTTCTGCGTGACTACAAGTTTTGTGGTTCTCTTCGAATTTTTGAATTTTCTGCGTGTTCTCGCATCCCTTACAATATTTCCTATCTTCCATGTCTTAATATATAGCCAGTATCCCTTTAAGCGTATTTGTTGTCTACACAGTAATCCATAGGAATCTCCATCATTATTCTAAACCCAACAGTACTCCAGCATCTTGTCGTTCATCAACAGTTTGCGCACGTGTCCAACAAGTTCTGTTTGTTCGCTCTTCTCCACTGACTTTTCTTGCTTGTACACACGCCTTTTCTCTCCGCATTGAAAACAATTGAGATAAACCTTTCCGCTGCTCTTGCTTCCGAAGTCTTCAACCTCTTTCCAGCTATGGCATCCAGTGCTTTTGATCTTGCCCATCCTACTCCCTTAAAACCACTATCCCTTTTAACTTTCTTACCCGATACTTTTCATCTTATCTTAGCACTCAATACATGAAATCCTATAAGAACACTGCTGCATTTTCGGGCAATACCTAGTAAAGCTTTCGAGATCTTTCCTCTCATGAAACCTTACACATGTCCGCTGAGATGATGTTTTCTCTGGAACATCATCCTTTTCATCAAACCTCATGTCAATTTCGTCAACATATTTTGGCAGCTTATACAAAACTTACCTACGTAATCATGAACGGATCTTATTCTAGAATATTCATATTTCTTTGCTTGATTACGAAAATCTTACAACGCTACAGTTCCTTAGTCTTTAACGAAACTAATTAAATTCACTTCCGCACTCTCATGGTGCGATTATGAACGTTGCAATGGGTCTACCTGTGTCTCTTCACTATGGGGCCATGGTCTGGGGGAACATCTGTCAAACCAGTCCATACTTGCTAACTCATGCAACTTTTTGAGAGAGCACACGTCAATGTCTATTTTTTCCACATCCTCTTCAACTCGTTCCAGCCTTTCTTCAGGAGTAGGCTTACGAGAACCCCATCCAGTTGATACTGTGTCAACACCCACTTTTTCTTGTACATGAGTCTCAATTAAATATGTGGTTTCCTCATCTTCCAGGACCTCCTATCTTCAATGATTGTTTTGCCTTCATTGTTTATCTTGGTTTCCTTGTGGAAAGTTTTCCTTCTACGCTTGCATGGCAAACAATTCTTCGTTGTCGTCGCGGTGGTCGTCGGAGAGCAGCAGTCTGGGACACCCTTTGGGACACATACACTTCATCTCAGATGGCCTTTTCCGTGTTGGTAAACCTACTGTCCAGGGGGGCAGTTGATAGGGAATAGTGTTGTGGGATCATTCGGGGATATTGGGATAGATGATGGGGAATCTGTTGGATATGTTTGGGGGTATTGGGGGTAGTGTACAGCTATATTAGAAGGGTAGCACTTCTTAGGGTATCTGGTTCATGATGGGGAATATGGATTTTTAAGGGTATGAGTCGGGCTAGGTGGAGGGGGGGGAGTGTAGGGGGGTACTATTACCCAGAAGGAAATGCCATTTGCTAATTGATACCGGGGAGCTTCACTGAACCACCGGCTTGGCTGGCGTCTGGCTTCCTGCCAGAGGCTGGAATGAACATTCTCGGCTTATCTGGCTGCTGGCGCAAGGTTGTACGTTTTGGAGAGCGCTGCTGGACGGGTTTAATGCGCTGGATCTTCTGGGCCCTGCACCGATGATTGTGAGCATTGCGGCTTGAGTTTGTTGCTAGCTGTAAGAAGCAGCATCCAGCAGTGGATGAGGGGGCCGTCAATGCGCTGATGACACCGGTTGCATGCCGTTGGCACCTACGCTCCAGGAATCTTGCATCCGAGGACCGAGGAAATCGAATCCGGAGGAGGACGGGCAGGTGGAGGCATGAACAATACACCCTTTGGGGATCGTTGGGGTATCAATCCTGCAGTGTCAGCTTCAAATGGTCGGCCTTACTAGGAGCCGAATCCCTGAAGTTTTCGTGGAAGCTCGAGACACTGCTGGCATTCCAACCCTCGAAACCCTTGTGCAAGAGCGAACAAGCCCGAATCGTCGCAGTTTCCGCCAAGCCGCGTGCGCACGTTGAACCATGGACCCCATTCCGTCTCTCGCAGAGTGCTGATCATCCGAGCAAAGTTTCTGGGCGGCTGGGCGAATCTGTGCTTCTAAATTTCCATTCCTTCGAGCACAACTGCATCTACTTACGGGAATCCAAAGCAGAGAAGTACATCTGGTTACTGAGGTATAAAGGGATATTGGGCTCCTAGAGTGCAAGCTCCACGCCAGTGGGGTTTGGGAAAACAGGGGTACTTGTTCAGGAGGGTTTAGGGTTTTAGGGGTGTGCTTCTTTGGGGTGCCCTGTATTCTGAAACTCCCATGTCGCAGGCAGGATGAAAGGATCTGTCCCAACACGCTGAGGGTTATTTACAGGCTCCTGCACGGGGTTCTTTAAGGGGTGAAGGGAAGCCTGGCACAGGCCTAAGGTTACAGCAACTTAACAGACAGGAAAAGAGCTACTTGAAGTGCGAGCAAGCTTCATGACGGTGCCACTCTCCTCGGTGCCATTTGTCGAAACATCCCACGATCCCCGAGAATGCCGTGTTCGGAACGACATCCATAACTACGTGGGCGGGGGTGGTCTGGGCAGCAGGGGGCTAGAACTCGAAGACCCCCAAAGACAAAAGCTGCTTTGCACAAAAGCTCTCGTGCTACGTGTATGTATGTATGTATGTATGTATGTATATATATATATGTATATATATATATATGTATATAGATAGATAGATAGATAGATAGATAGATATAGAGAGATATACGTTCTAATTCTCTCCACTGGCTGCCACGGATCGCGCGGTGCTTTGCGGATCAGAGCTGTGCCGCTCGTCAGCAGGGCCTGGTATCGGGGAATGAGGGAGGTCTACCTCCGAGTTTGAGAGCGGCTGCGGACCAAGATTAACATTACGAACTCCTGGCTTGTGATTCCTAGTCTCCCTGCAACTCTCCAACATGCGTGCAGTGGAGTGAAGTTTCGTCTGACGTCCCAGGTCGCCATTCTGTCAAGCGGTGGAGACAGCTGCAAGATAAACCCTCTTTCGGTTAGCCTTCCTGAGGCACGAACTTCTTTCAACACGGACACACACACACACTCGTGCTACTGAAGAGTTGTTGAAGGTCCATTGCTGTCAGCAGCCGTTGTGCCTCAATGAGCGCCAGCTTGGACGCCTCACAGGGGGCAAGTGCAGCTTCCATGCTTGCGTTAAACAAGCTGATCCAGATCGAATACCGAATCGAGGGCCATGTAGGCTAATTGAAAGTCGAATCATGGAGCCTCCTGATTCGCCACTGCCGAGTAGTCGAAGACGGCCAGCTTGTGATCTGGGCTTCAAGAGTCCGGATTACAGGCCGCCACAAGGTGCAACGGGCTCAGCTTGTGATACTTGGCTTCAAGTCAAGCCGCCCCCAGACCAAGTCCTCACTGCCGGCTTGTGGTAGCTCGTGGGCTGGACGGCATGCTGCCTGCGCTCACGGCTGGGAATTGACCCAGCAACACAGACAGACACACAGACACAGACA